TGGTTGGAGCAAACGAATGATTTTTTTTAATGGGACCTGTCGAACAAAGTGATTTTGATGAAACATCATAAATTACGTTTTTGGTCACATGGGGTTGAATTTTCCAACAAAAAGGCTCGTCACATGTGAGCAGTTCAAGGACAGTCGGAAAGCTGAAACTCTAACTGTACAGGTTCTGGCTCTGATGAATATTTTGATTTTGGCAACATGCTTCTCAAAACCTTTGGATTCAGAGACTCAAATGCTGATAGTCGACTAAAACTAACTCTTAAGAAACCGACACACTGCCAGACTATCCTCTGAAGTTTATTTCAAATTCATTGAGAGTCCACAGGATATCATTAAACTAATATTGACTCATTTAAAAGTAGAGCTTCTCTTGAACAGATCAGAATTCCTCTGATCACCACATTTTTCTTTCATGTGTGAGGTCTGCTCGCTGCAGCTGCTCACATCATCAGTGTTTGTTCTCTTTAACTCCCTCAGGTTTGACCCAGCTCCAGGACATGGGGCTGCAGGTTTTCCACGCCGGCACCGCCCTGAAGGAAGGGGGCGTGGTCTCCAGCGGGGGGCGGGTCCTGACGGTCACCGCTGTCCGGTCGTCCCTGGAGACGGCCCTGCAGGCGGCCAATCAGGGCGTGGCTGCCGTGGGCTTCCCGGGGGCCGTGTACCGGCGCGACATCGGCCACAGAGCCATCGGCCACCTGAACCAGCACAGGTGTGTGTGAGCGTGGACGCCTAAACACTAAAACACTAAAACATTCCTGTACATGTAGAAGCACGAACTTAGAATAATAAACTTCACTTTGGCTATAACTGCGTCCTGGTTTTTCTTTTTCAAGTAAATTTAATGCTCAAATCTACAACCACAAAATATTCCTGCTGATTTTAAGCCTCTTCCAGAAGACTAAAGTCACAGCTCAGTCTAATTCCTCTGTGTCTCTGACAGAGGTCTCACCTACAAGGACAGCGGAGTGGACATCGCCGCCGGCAACAAGCTGGTGGACATGATCAAACCTCTGGCCAAGGCGACATCCCGCCCCGGTAACTTCCACAAAGCCTGAGCAACAAACACTGTTCTGTAAATCTAAATACCGATTACACGCCTGTGTGTCAAACGGCACCTGGAGGAAACTAATCCTGCTCTCCGGTCTCCTGCAGCTTTTCTCAGACGGTGTTTTGCTGTTCGAGCTGCTGACTGAAACCTTTTTCTCATTAGGAAACAAATTGCAGCGTTTTTCAGCAATTGCGGTCGTAAACGTTGTGATTTTTACGTCTTGTTTTGTTTGGATAAATCCAGCAGCCGCAGTGGGAGCTCAGTTAAATTAGAGAGAATAAATGAAGCAATAACTGAAAGTAAGAGGGTTTTGTTTTTTGTTTTTTTTTAATGTTTGTTTTCATCAGGGTGTAATGCTGAACTCGGGGGCTTCGCTGGGCTGTTTGACCTGAAGGCTGCAGGGTTTGTCGACCCGATCCTGGTGTCGGGGACGGACGGAGTCGGGACCAAGCTGAAGGTGAGATTTCAGTTCTTTTAATGTAGACTTTTGGGAAAATAAAGGAGTATATACAGGAATCTATTTGTTGTCACTGATTAAAGATGATTCCTTTCTTCGTCAGATCGCCCAGGCCTGCGGGCAGCACGGCGGTCTGGGCCAGGACCTGGTGGCCATGTGCGTCAACGACGTCCTCGCTCAGGGCGCTGAGCCGCTCTTCTTCCTCGACTACTTTTCCTGCGGCAAGCTGGACGTGGATGTGGCCGCCTCGGTGGTCGGCGGCATTGCGAAGGCCTGCGAGGTGGCCGGCTGTGCTCTGCTGGGTAACGATGATCTGAGTCACTTAATGTTCAGGATCTGCCATTTTCCAAGATGATGCACACGTCAAGTATTGCATGTGTAGCTGTAGTACCTGTTACTGTTTGATATTGTGGCAACAAGAGGAGGGGGGTAGTTGTGTGTCAGGAAGCAGGAGGGACTGTGGGGGTTCAGCTAATAACGACTTGTTTCCACATAGTTTTGCTTGATGTCTGTAAATCTGTATAATAGCTGGACTGCGCCCCCTGGTGTTCAACGCTAGGAAATGTATTCCATTATGCATGAATGGAAACTTAACTATAGCCGTATGAGAGAGGCAAATCATCAGTCTGCACTTGTCCAGCTTTGTGGAAAATGAGCTTTACTGCAACTAAAATAATGCTTAAACAGAAACAGGTGCACTTTAGGGTCCATTTTATGATTCTTTTATTTGTTTTTAAATCTTTAAATGGCCTCGCCCTGCCCTACCTCTCTGAGCTTCTTCACCCCTACGCCCCTGCACGGTACCTCCGGTCAGCTGATCAGCTGCTCCTTGAGGTACCGAGGTCCAAGCGAGCGCTCAGAGGGGACCCAGCATTCTCTGTTGCTGCTCCTAAAATGTGGAACGACCAACCTTTGCGCATCAGGCAGGCCTCCTCACTGTCTGCATTTAAAACCAATCTTAAAACCCACTTTTATTCACTGGCTTTCAACCCAGCACGTCGCTCTGTGTTAGTTGTTTTTATTTGTTCTATGCTGTTTTTATTGTTGCTTTGTTTTGTTGTTTTTATATTATCAATTAATCAACTATTGACTGATATTGTTGCACATATTTAGGAAATTATTCAAATTTTAAACGCCTGGAATGAATGTAAACAAAGAATCAGGGTTCAGTTCTTGCCCCAATCCCAATCAGGACCTTTAGTGAGGATTTAGTAGGAGCCTCTTTATTTACAGTACCTCCCTCTGTCTAGGTGGTGAGACGGCAGAAATGCCCGGCGTCTACGCCCCGGGAGAGTACGACCTGGCCGGGTTCTGCGTGGGAGCAGTGGAACGAGGAGCCCTGCTGCCCCGGCTGGGGGACATCACAGAGGGGGACCTGCTGGTCGGAGTGGCCTCGTCTGGGGTTCACAGCAACGGCTTCAGCCTGGTCCGCAAAGTCCTGGAGAAGGCCAACCTTGGATACAGCTCCCCCGCTGCTTTCGGCCAGCCGGGACAGACTGTCGGTGAGCCGTGGTCATGCCAATCTGAGTGTGTAACTGCATGGAGGCTGGATTTCTGACACTTTAACGTTCCCTGCTGCATAAATAATAGCTGTGAAGGTCCCTGATAGTCCATGTGGAGCCACCATCAGGGTAAAATTTAGCTCCACACTAAAAAAAAAAAAAAAGCCTTCTGTGTGTTTAATGCTAATTATAAAATGTTAGCGGTCGATTGAAGTCCAAATTCAGAACCTGCAGACTAACTAAATTCAATTTTACTTACATTTTTACATTATGGAGCCTGAAGTGGTTGTAGTTTTAGGCCATCAGAGCATCTTCTAGGATAATTTACACAAATGAAATGATCTTCTAACACATCACAGTATTCTTTTTTTTTTTTAAATTAGGACCCGTGACATCACATCTAACTCTTTCGCTAAATGAGTCGAGCCTCCTGACGTCACTGTTTGGTTAAAAAAGAAAAAGAAAGAAATAGTCCCCTGTTCCAGTTTCCCTACTGTGAGGACTTTGTATTGTGAACTTTGTATCTCTGGGATGTTTTCAGGATGATTTGTTACCCAGAAAAGAACAAACTACGGACATTTTGTCTTGAGCTTAAGGACAGTCTTTCCATTTTACAGATAGTTTTTAGTCCCAGTGTTTTACTGTGATTCTGCTTCCAGGGGAGGTGTTGCTGACTCCGACGAAGATCTACAGTCGCCTGCTCCTGCCCATCCTGCGGAGCGGAGCTGTCAAAGCCTACGCTCACATCACCGGTGGGGGGCTGCTGGAGAACATCCCCCGGGTGCTGCCCCAGGAGCTGGCAGTGGATTTAGGTGAGATGAAAAAACTATGTGGAAAGGTGGTTTGACATTTGAAAAATCTGTTTTTTATGGTTGGTAAGACTCTTGCCTGTATATATTTGTATGATGGAAATAAAAACACAAACATCCTGCTGTTACATTCATGTTTTTGTTTTGTACAAACTGTGGAGGTGATGTAGTGGTTGTTACTGAAGCCACAGGTGGTTCTCCTGAATGTCTCCACTCTGTTTCCTCAGACGCCTCTCGCTGGAGCGTCCCTCCCGTGTTTTCGTGGCTCTACAGCGAAGGAGGCCTGAGCGAGGAGGAGATGGCCCGAACCTTTAACTGTGGCCTGGGGGCCGTGCTGGTGGTCGCCCCCGTGGACGCCCAGAGGGTCCTGCGGCAGCTCCAAGCCCACGAAGAGGCCTGGATCGTGGGTTCGCTGGCCCACAAGCAGCCCGGTGAGCTGGACAGGAAACGACCACAAACAGCCAGAATCAGCCACAAGAGCAGGTGGAGCTCATTTTTTTCATGTGCGTGTACCTTCAGGGGCAGAACCTGTGGTGGTCCGTAACCTGAAACACAGCCTGCTGAACGCAGGACCGGCCTCCAGCGGAGAGTCGGAGCAGAACGGCGGTTGCCACGACAACAGCATCATGCCACGCAAGAGGACAAGAGTTGGTGTTCTCATCTCGGGCACAGGTGCAGTTTTTATGAATGCTGAGATAAGAGTTGCACTTGAAAATGTCTCGCAAGCACCTGAGAGGAACTCCACGTAACGGTAATGTTGTAACGTGGTAGTTTGCCCACAGTGAGTAAAAATGTGACGGTAACGAAAACATCCAAAAGCTGTTTGGGTTCAGACAGTTAAACATTTTTTAAGGTACGCTTTCTTACCCTGTTTCCTCATGTCAGCAGTCTAGTTCCCAAAATGAACCAACTACGTCGTCTCTTCTTTTCTAAAGTGATGTTTTGTCTTCAAACTCTGAATCAAAATGTCCCCAATGTGTCAGAATATTTGTTTCCACTCCATCTGTTGATCCAGGCACCAACCTGCAGGCCCTGATCGAGCAGGCCAAGCGTCCGTCCAGCTCAGCGGAGATCGTGGTGGTCATCTCCAACAGACCGGGAGTTCAGGGTTTGAAGAGAGCGTCGCTGGCCGGCATCCAGACACGGGTAATAACAGCACACCTGGTGTGGGAAGGGGAAGCTGTGAGGGCACTGTGACAACCTGTGCTGCTTTGAGAGGAGTTTTTGGGAGGAACAAACAGGCCTGGAGGAGCTTTCTGATGCGAGGCTGGAAGAAAAACACAACTCACAAAGATGCAGGTTTTCTGTCTGGTTACGTATTTGTGTTTCTCATCCAGGTGGTGGACCACAAACTGTACGGGAGCCGGGCAGAGTTCGACGGCACCATCGACCGCGTGCTGGAAGAGTTCGGGGTGGAGATGGTGTGTCTGGCCGGATTCATGAGGATCCTCACGGGGACCTTCGTCAAGAAATGGAACGGTGAGAAAACGTTGTTTGTCTGTTCTCACGTCTGCGCCGTCGAGTACCACGACACAAAAGTCACCTGAATGCGTTTGTCGTCACAGGTAAACTGCTGAACATCCATCCGTCTCTGCTGCCCTCGTTCAAGGGTGTGAACGCCCAGAAACAGGCTCTGCAGGCTGGAGTGCGGGTCGCCGGCTGCACAGTCCACTTTGTCGCAGTAAGTTGAAGATTTAACCCTGTGGGGGCACAGCTGTAGCTCACCTGGTTGAACTGGTGTCCCATGTATAGGGGCTACAGTCCCCAAAGCAGCGGTCATGGGTTCGAGTCCAACTGACCCACTTTCCCGTGTCTCTCTCTCTCTGACCTGTCTAATAAGGCCAAAAAATATCTTAAAGAAAAAAATGATGTGACCCTCTGAACCCCCAAGACCTACCAGGGAGTTTGAAAGGCACAGAATCGCCAAAATGACACCATTTATCTGAGTCAGAAACTGTAAAATCAGGAAGTTTCTGACTATATTGGAGCTAATCATGTGTGACGTTTGGTTTTGTCTGAAAAATAAACCAAATCTAAGCTTAAAGCAGCGATGCTTCATTAAAAATCAGTGTCAACCGTTTAAATTTTGCCAAAAATAACCAGTTTTAAACAGTTTTTTTCATTTTTTGTAAATTGAAAGACCTAAGAAATGTGGCTTTTGTTGTTTCCTTTAATGATAACTTATGGCATCATTCCAGTCGTGGTTTCCAGACAGGTGTAGGACTTTGAAAAATGAGCCAGAAGTGAATAAAAATGAATGTAACAAAATGTCATAACCGTCTGGGTTAAAGGCCGAACAACGAGGCAAATTGGTGAAATGTTGATTGGGTTGGTTTTTCATTCACTCGTTCAGGAAGAGGTGGACGCCGGCGCCATCATCGTGCAGGAGGCGGTGCCGGTGATGGGCGGCGACACCGAGGAGAGCCTGTCGGACAGGATCAGAGAGGCCGAGCACCGAGCCTTCCCCGCCGCTCTGGAGCTGGTGGCCAGCGGCGCCGTGAGGCTGGGAGAGGACGGACACATCGTCTGGAAGTCCAGTCCACAGAGTTAAAGAAATCCAGCTCGCGTTACATTCAGGTCACCGGGTTTACAATACAAAAGAGACACTAACGAAGCAGACTGATGAGTAGAAAACACGTTTACTGTTTTTAAAAGCATCAGCTAAGGTCAAAATATCAACTTTGTACTTATTCCACTGCCATCACTTCTTGTCCTTTTTTACAAACTGTCGTGTCCTGTTGAGTCGAGCTTGTAAACGTAGATTTGATGAAATAGTGACATTGCAACTTCTTGTGAAAAGAAGGAAAAATACATTCCAGCTGTTAGATTTGCACTGAAAAACGTAGTTGATTATTAAACTTGACCAGGCGAATGCAACGAGTCTCTCCATGTGGCGTTTGTTTTGTCCTCAGAGATGCTTGTCGTCTGATCTTCTACAGTTTGTTCTTGCAGAATTCTGTCCAACGCAGCAAAAGAAATATCCTCAAAGTGTCCAGAAAGTTCAGATTTGTTGGCTCCTGTGGAAGCGCAGCACAGACAGCCTTTCGTTTCCGGCTCTCGTAGACAAACACGACTCTCCCTTCAAGCCACGTTGGCCCAGTAACCGGATGATCTCCTCTGGTGAGAAAAACACAAATCAATTTCCGTGCAGGTGATTTAATTCGCTGGAGCTTCTCACGTAAAAGCCAACAAACCTGGGTCGTTCTCGGCGATGGTGATGAGGTAAAACAGGCCTTTGCTGGACAGTAGCTGCGCTACGACGGGGAGGAATCTGTCGGTGACCTCTCGGCCTCGCTGCCCGCCGGCCCAGGAAGCTTCTATGCCGGTGCTGCCGACCTGAGAGAGAGAAACACGATTAGATCACATTGAAACCTCCGAACTTCAGTCTGTTGAAGTGAATGAGACACCTCCTCTGACGGGGTCACCACGTAGGGAGGGTTGAAGAGCAGGACGTCCACTTTCCCACACAGCTGAGGCAGAAGACACTGGACCTGAAGGAAGAACAGGAAAGCAGGATTCAGATGCATTAAAACCACCTGTGGTTGTGCCACCAACACAGGACATGGATCAGTTTTGTTCTGGCTAATGCTCGATTAGATTAGAATTGGGGGACTTCAGAGGCTGGATCAGCTCATTGGGCTCTGTGTTACATTCTTTGAAGTGTTTTGCTGACTGGGAGTGCTTTAAATATGCATGTTTAATTTGCAGCTAGGGGTGTTCAATTCATTGCTGTTAATGGATAAAGCAGAAGGCGAAGGATGTACATGTTAGAAAATGTATATTAGCTGCAGTACCTGGTTGCATCACCAGGTGGAGCCTCTGACTATTTAATACTACAACGACTAGAAGAGGTGTCACTTGGACTCTGGGCATCTATCTCGTAAAGTGCCACCAAATCATTTGTGATGCTGAATGTCTACAAGACAGAGCTCTCCTCTTGTAGACGAGCTGTGTTCCCATGTTTAAAGCAGTTTTACCTGGAGGTGTCCACTGAGTTCATTATGGGTTACAGATTTATTATCAAGTTTCTGAGGACTTTCTATTGAATTGAAAAACCTACAAGACTTCTACGAGAAGCTTCCTGCAGCAATGAATCAGCATTTGCATTTCCAAACAACCCGTTTTGTTGGGACAGATGCATAAATCCAAACCAATAACTAGATGCTTTCACCAGCGAACCACTTACAGTTTGACTTGAACAGTTTAAGCTCTAAATTATTCACGATAAGTTTTGGTTAAGAAAAGTATTAAAAACTCCCTATTTGTGGCAATATTTAGGCGAGTGGTTGATGTTCAAGTAACATCCACATACAGTCGTCCTCAGATGTACAGCTGTCAGTGAAATAAGTTGAAATTGAGAAAAATAATAAATAAAAAAATTATGAAAATCATGACATTGCTTTTGAATTGTGGTTCAACAGAAATATTGAAAAATAAATTTTAAAAAAAAGCATGATGTGTTTTCTGTAACTCAGTCATATTTCTGCACCTGTTGACAGGTGTTTGGATTTCACTGCTCATCAAAGTGCTCTAATTTGACAGTTGTTTTTTTTTTAATTATTCTTTTCAACCACAATTCAAAAGCAACATCTTGTTTCACTAAATTATAATTTAGCATTTTTTTTATTTATCATTACTTTTTTCAGTTTCTGCATATTTGAGTGATTATTGTGGATTTTGCCTTTCCTTTAATGGAAGGGTATGAATACACTTGAGGACGACTGAGCCTTATGACCAGCTGTTTTAACATTTAATAGCTGAGTTTAATTAAAGTGACAGATTTTAACAACTTCCTTGATTGGTCAGAGGTTTTATTCCAGTTATTTCACCCAGAAAAAGCAAATTCAAGGTATCTGCAATCACATTTTGAAGGATGGAATTCCAGTTTGAGAACTTGTTAAAACTAAAACGGCCAGAGTTAAAGATCGTCAGAATTAAACTGGATGTCTGAAACTGGAATCAGCAGATGTCAGCAATCCAAACAGTGTCCATCTGCAGCTGAATCCTAGACATCTATGATGAGACACACAACTGAGGCTGATCAGGTCTTACCAGGTCTGTGATGACCGGCTGCAGTGAAACGCTGTTGCATGAAGCCGTCTTTGCTGTGCATTGAGCTGCTGCAGGGTTCACATCAGTGCAGCTGCAAACACAAACACACGCGTCCATTTACACGTTTGTTCTGCAGCAGACGTGGCTGCAACATGTCAGATCAACTCACATGTACAGAGCCGAGGCTCCGACCACTGAGGCCAGGAAGGCAGACACCACCCCCGAGCCGCTGCCCACCTCCACACACACACCCGGGCTGGAAACGAAAACGCAGAACGGTCAGAGGTCAAGTCAGGCTGAGGGCAAGGTAACGAGAAAGGAGGAGACCGAACCTGAGGAGCCGCAGTCTGTCCGCGTCTTTCTCCAGCGCGTCGATCAGAAGGAACGAGTCCTCCGCCGGCTCGTAAACGTCCCGGAACTCTGCCCGTCCGGCGTGACCGTAGAGCGGAGTGGGAAGGCTGCTGCACATGTCTGCTTCACGGCGAGGGTCGAAAGATTCCCACACGATTCATTCACAATGCCGCTAAAAAAAAAAAAAAAAGCTGCGAGTCCACGAGCCGCACTTCCGCATTCCCCTTCCTGTTTACAACGACGTCACGGTGACGTACAGACGCCGGTTCTGCTGCTCCACGTGATTTTACTGAGAAAGAATTCATAAAAAACAAACAAACAAACAAACAAACAAAAAAACATAAAATAGACAAACAAATACGAAAGAGCCAATTTACTGTTAAAAGAAAAAAAATAAAATTAATTTTCTGCAAAACAACAAAAACCAAATCAAAAAGGAGTAAATTTACATCATAAATAGAATAGAATAGAACTTTATTGATCCATCTGGTGGAAACCTCAGGGAAATTGCTGAACCATAGATATATATAATAAAGGCATTATTTATAAATAAATAAAAAACAATAAAATAAAAATCGTGTACATATCACAAGCAGGGTCTTATTAATTGGAATGTAAATGAAGATGTAAAAAATAAAAACAATGAGCATTACGATCACATCAATGGATCAGAGGACATGAGGCACTGAGCAGTCAACCACATGAAACATGCAGGCCATCATTAAAGGATTTCTGTTGTCTGTTTCTTCAGAGTTATCAGCAGAGGCGTCGTATATTATATCACATTTTAACCTGACAATTCAATTAAATAAGTAAATGAAACGAGAAAACAGTGAGTGCATGTGCATCTGTAACTGTAGCTCATGATGGCTTTCCTGGCCATTGCCATCATATTCATGTAAAGGTGTGCCTTGTCATAAAAAAAACACTAAGCTACATCAGAGTTGCCGTTTTTAGCTACGAACTTTCATTGTTCATAAGTTTGTTTTAAAGTAATTTAGATCAGCAATGCTTTGAATAGTCCCCAAGAAGAACAATAAAATATTAGAATAAATGAATAAGTAAATAATAAAAGTCATAATAATGCTACAAAATACAAACACTGACCACTTTGTCTGCGCTGCTGCTTGAGCGACACCCTGACGACCCAAAACTTGTTTTATAAACTCATACTAGCCTATAGAAAATAAATGTATTTGTTGACTTAACATATTTTTTTCTCATTAAATCAATGCACTCGTGTTTCTCAGTCGAGAAGATGAACCTGACATCACAGTCCACCCCAGCCCCCCAATCTACCTCACATCCACCTACTGTAAACTCTATAAATGTGCAATATCATCAATGACTATGCTGTGCAATATTTTTCTAAATTCATACTGTACATATAACTTATACTGTATACTGTATATATAACTTATTTTATATTGAAATATCTTCTATTTTTTTGCTCTTTATTTTGTTCTTTATTCTATATTGCACTGAAGGAGCTGCTCTTAATCTCATTGTACATGTGTATAGTGACAATAAAGGCATTCTATTCTATTCTATTCTATTCTATTCTATTCTATTCTAAACCCCGTCAGTCATCACGACATCGAATCTTCCATCCAGCAGGTGCCGGTAAACCATCACCAGCTGCCGCAAAACCTCCTGAGACGCTGCAGACTGAGCATGCGCAACGCCATCTCGCTTCACGGCCGCATTCCTCCGGGCTCTCCCGCCAACGCTCCGTGGACAAGTTGCCGGTCCGTGGACAAGTTGCCTCTCCGTGGACAAGTTGCCGCTCCACTTCGTTTCAGCAGTTGCCCACGGTAGGAAGAGATTTATTTTTACCTGCTAGTGTAGCGGAGTTAAGTTAATTCCACTTGCCATCTCTTTTCATGATACAATTGTTTGCCTTGTTTGTAATATATTGGTTTCCCCACTGGGACGGGATATAATATTGATTCCCGCCGCTGGGCCCCTGCAGACTTGAGGGGTGAGCCCCGCGTAACTTTTTTGCCAGTTTGCTCGTGCCCGTCGCCATGTGCCCTGAAGTTGAAAAAAGAAAAAAACCGGCTGGTTGGAACCAAAGGACGAGAGGTCTGGGTTTTTGGTGTTTCACAACGCAGAAGATAGTACACCACGGCTACACTAGCTTTTTTTTCGCTGTACGGTAAGTTTGCGACGAATGAAGTTTTGTGCTTTCTCTGTTTGAGTACTTTTTGGACAACGCTTCGGACGCGTTAGCGAGCTAAGCGGCTACCTTAGCTAGCGGCGAACTCCGGTGTTAATTAGCCGCCGCTGTTCTTGTTAACCGGGAACGTCGTGAGCGGCTCCTTCATGGCTTTGGTGTTTTAGCTTCACTCCCATGTTCATGCTTGTTCTTTGAAATAAAGGCTGTTTTCATTTATTAACTCAAACCCATTCAGCTGCATTAAAAGCCACAGGTGCTTTTCCACATACGTCACATTCACCGGCGTTTCCTAAACGCCTCACAGTTGGTTAGAGGCAAAAATTATTAATATTGTTGTAATTATGCTATATTTGTATTAATTTTTGCTTCTGTCTCGACGTCGAGTCTCTCCGTCTTTTTTAAAGAAACTCTCCTGAGACTGACGGTTGAGATTGACGGCTGAGAAGAGTGCGAGAAACATGCACCGACGGAAGTGACGGTAAGACGAGCTCGTTATTTTTCAAAATAAAACACCACACAAAATCAAACAAAAGAGAATGTTCTTATTGTTTAATTGCTAGTTCTGTTCATAGATATGCATAATAAAGGTTAAATGTCTCGTCCGCGCTGCCGGCCAGTGGAGTCGCGCGGCCAGCTTGCGACGGTCAGCTCGCTCACCCATAACACTGTGTTGTAGTGGTGCGTGTACTTTTTCAATAACCATAACTTGCTCAGTTTTCTACCTATTTCCTAACGGCTTGGTTTGTTATAAATGTCAGAGGTGTAGCTACAACACTGCACTTATGGATAATTATGTTGCACTTCCGGTCAAAAGTTTGGGCTCACCTACTTATTTCCTTCTTTGGACCTCAGATAGGTGCAATGAATATACTCACAAGTGTCAAGTGAATATATGAGCTAAAACTCAGTGTACAGGATGGCAACATGACATGTATGTATACTTTTATAATAGTAATATTACTAATGTGATTAAATAATTTGAATTATTGCATGTTTAGTTTAAACAAGTAGTAATTTAAAATACTGCATTATATCAGTAATATTTTTATGAATGTGACATTGATTTGCAATATCAAATAGGTAAAAGATTTCCCTTTAGAAATGTACATCATGAAATGCTGCATGTTGAAATCCCCGCCCTGAAGAGAGAACTGGACGACTGTGGAGGTATACACATGGAGGACAGAGAGAAGAAATGACCCCAAAAAAAGATGGTGAAATCAATAATAAAAAATCATATTTATCACAAGAAAAGAATTAACAATGACTAAAGAAGAATATAAAGAAAGGGGAGCCCTGTCCTGTCCAAGTCCTCAATTCTGAAGTGCTCCGTTCTTTCTCCTCCTCTCTCTGGTTTTGGGAAACCGTAAAAAGGTGAGAAATGTACTCAGATATGTAAATTATTGTCAACATCTTAAATCCTCATTTCCTTTTATATTAACCCTCTGGTCTCTATGCTGGCATTTTGTGTCCACTTCACTTTTTCTTCTTTGACCATTTTAGCTGTGTTCATGCAAATGGAATGAAATTTCCCAAGAGTCTAGACATTGTTCAGATTGTTTGGTTTTTAATTTCAGTTCTTTAAATTTATTAAAATATACTGTATACGTGCAGGTGTACCACTTGGCTCGATCGTGGCCACTTTTGGCCAATTGAAACCCATGCAAACGACATGTTTTAATGCCTTGGTGTTCACAGTTCTAAATCATACAAATAAGGTAAAATTGCTTTCATTTTCAACTCATAGCGTCAAAGTTGTAGTTTAAAATGTTTTCTACCAGATTATGTCATTTGTCGTTTATGGCCAAGGGAACAATTTTGTGTAATATTATTAATTTCCAATAGGGGGCGTATGATGGCTTCCTGTCCTCCATTGGAGGAAATGAATGACACAATTTCGACATAGGGGTGATCTTTAGGATGTCACATAATGAAAATTGTGCCTGTGTGTGAAATTGCAGGACAAAAATGAAGCCAGAGTGAAATAAATGATGATGCATCATACATCCGAGTTGCAGTAACTGTCTGCTGATGCAGGCGATTGAGCTGTGAGTGTCCCTGGCAAACTGGACTGTGATGCACATGTTCAAAGCTCCTGTAGCTCTGTGCTTTTCATAAAAAAATGCCACACACCCAAATGTCAACTCTCCAGAAAAGAAAATCTCAAGACATCTTGCAGAGGTCAAAGATGCAGCTGCAGGGAAACAAAGCCAAACTCTGGCTCCGTTGAGAAATCGGTCCGGGAGTTGCTGAAGGTGCAGTCAGTACTGATGCTGTAAGAAAGTGTAACAGCTCCCAGATCAGTTTTCTCTAGCAAGATGGCAAGAAGGTCATGCTCACTTCTTCAAACACATGACTATGTGATGCCATCAGAGAGCAAAGATGGAGAGAAATCCTCCGCACGAGAAGAAGAGACATCTGGTACCTACGATGAGAACACACCCTCTCCTGAAGATGAAGACACATCCTCCCCTGAAGATGAAGAAACATCCTCCCCTGAAGATGAAGAAACATCCTCCCTTGAAGATGAAGACACATCCTGTGATGAAGATGAAGACACATCCTCCCCTGAAGATGAAGAAACATCCTCCCCTGAAGATGAAGACACATCCTC